ATTATAAAATTCATGGTTTCTTAACCATGAAGGTATAAGTTTTTGAACATAATAATGTTTCCACCAGAATAACTTATCACAAATATGCCCCACCTTATGTATGCTTCACTCCACATGCATACATGTATAAATCATATATGTCATGCCATCTTTTCACATATATGCATGCACAATATCATGTTCACATATATAGTTCATGCATTTCTACTTAGATATGCATATTTCACGTAATCCACATAATAAACATGTAAAAATTACCTCAACCTAGGTTGTCTCAAACCTGGTTATAACAAGCTGGACAAGTAAAAAGCAAAATTTGATGTCCACATCAACTACTGAAGCTGAGTATGTTACCGCTGGAAGCTGCTATGCCCAAGTCCTTTGGATGAAAACCAGCGTAAAGACTATGATCTTCAGTTTTCTAATATTCCTATCTATTGCGATAGCATCAGTGCTATTGCCATTGCAAACAATCATGTTCTTCACTCCAAGACCAAACATATTGAGATTCGATATCATTTTATCCGAGATCATGTTATGAATGGTAATATTGAAATTCACTTTATTCCAACTGATTACCAACTCGCTGACCTTTTGACAAAGCCTTTTGATGAGACAAGATTCGTCATCTTGATCAGCGAACTTGGAATGCTAAACACTGATGATTAATTTCCTTCAACTATAAGCATTACTCGGTAAGTGAAATGATTCAGTGTTCTTATTCTATCACTGAACTCTTGAGTAAATATATCTTCTCTTTATAAGGTTGTATACTTATTTTCTCTCTCTCCAACTTAAAACTATCATTGAATTTTTCATACTCAGTGATCAAAACATTTTAAAAGATTGTTTCAGTGTTCTTATTCTATCGCTAAGCTTTTTAAAACAAGTATATCTCTCTAAGATATACTTATCTTCTTAAAACAAAAATTATCACTGAACCTTTCCTTATTCAGTGATTCAAATGTTTTAAAAGATTGTTTCAGTGTTTATTTCATCACTGAACCATTTATAGAAATATATCTCTCTAAGATATATTTTTATTTTCTTAAAACAAAACCATCACTGAAGCTTTTCTCTTTCAGTGATCAATGTTTTAAAAGATATACTTTTCTTCAGTGATTTTTCTTATCAATAAGAATGAAAAGGTTGGCAAGATGAGAAGATATCTCAACCGTCACATGAGAAATGAGATTAAAAAGGCAGTTACAACTACCTTTTTGAACAAAAAAAAAATCCACCATATGTTTAATTGAAAATCAGCAAAATATAACTAAAATTGGAGCCAAAAAAATTATGCCATAAAAACAAGCATTTTATTATAGTTAACTTGGCATCTATATTGTTGTGTTTTTTTCATTCTTTTTTTTTCTCACATTCTCAACATTCTTATCATTCTCATTTGAACTGGCACCTATGTATGCATATATGATATGTATATGAAGGCAAGCCCACAAAGCGAAATAACGATAGAAGTTGTACACTTGCTCTAGATTTCTATCTGGCTTTAAGGAACCAGAAGAAGCCTATCTTAAACCAATTCATGATAAATACACAATATATATCAACACCAAAGCTCCAGACCAACTAACCCATGGTCGCACCGGGCTGCAAACGAACCTACAACAAACCATTAAGAAAAGTGTAAGTAATAATAACGTTAAAATGTTGTGTACCCAATAACTGATTCAAGTTATCAAGAAACCTGTCATGTTTAGCAGATAACTTCGATCATAGGAAATAGTAATCACTGTCTTCTTCTGCAGAAATTGCGCTGCTACCAGAGAATTCATAGTCTTCATAATCAGATAAATCCATAGCAGAGGAGTCACAGTCTTTGTAATCATATAAATCTATATCAGAGAATTCATACTTATCTATTGGGAGGTTATATAACATAAACTTGAAATCTTTGATCCGCTCTATGCACATCTCTTCTAAATTCCCGTCAAGAAGAAGGTAAAAACAGCCACAAATGTCAAAAGATTCAAGGTGAGGGCAGCCATGAAGAATGGGATGGAGACAATCATCGGGTATTGCGCAACCAAACAGCTGCAAATGGTGTAATGCCGCCATATTATTCGCAATGGCAAGGGCATCAGCACCATATTCTATGTAATGTGTCTTCTTCATGAAGGACTTCAGCTGAGGGCAACTTCGTCCAATAACTTCGATGTCGTCTGAATGGATAGAAATGTTGACAAGGTGAAGTGTCTCCAAATGTGGCAGCCTTTTGAGCACTTGAGTCAACCCTCTTGTCATAATGTTGTCGCAGTTCGTAAAAAGCGAAGACTGTTCAGCTTACTTGAGCTGTGCACAAATTACAACTCAGAGCCATAAAAAATAGCAACAGATTTTCAATATTGTACAACTTATAAAACCAAAAGAAAAACTTGCCAACATATAAAAGCAACTCAAAATGCTGTGAAAGTAAATCATACCCCATATATTATGCTCGATATTTAAGGGCCAACCAACTAACAACCCATGTTAAAAAGCTTTCAAAATTTGAGCTTAGTTTTAACTGTCACCAAGAGAATGCACATATAACAAGCCCCCGTGGCTTTAGGTAGCAGATAAGAAGGTGGGCCATCTTTGTAAAATGAATGGGAGACCCGGGTTCGAATCCAGGCACCACTCTCCTTCCCCTAGGACACACGATATATCTCCCCCATAAAAGCTGTGGGACCAGTACGATGGAGGGCGCTCCAGAGGTTGGTGTTACACATTTTTTTTTTTGCAAAATAACACACATTAGAAGCAAGCATATGGTAAAATGACTTTAAGATGAAAACTTAACAGACAGAGACCATTTAAAAGGATATATATATATATATATATATATCCATTTCAGAAACAAGCGTGCATTATTAAATCCAAGCAGAGGTGACAATGGACTCTTTTATGGCATGTCTTCGTTTCTAATCCAACCATGTATACCAAGGTTTGTATTTATAATAAGCTAATATTTTGGTACATGACGGCCTTAAGCATTCCCGAAAGCATGACCTCTGCTAGGAGCTCTTGGAGACGCAAATTAAGATAGAAGGCTATAGGGAGGGATCTGTAGCATGAATGGGAGGACAGAAGTTTGGAGAAGAGAATAGAGGTTGAGACAGGGATAGAGGAGTGTGGTGGCAGTTTAGGTTAATAGGGTCTTACGTCTAATAAAAGGTTGCCTAAGTTTTTCTTGGCTCTTTCCATCCTCGTCTACTATTGTATTTACTGGTGTGATGTGCATGCTCTTAGCTTTTCTTCTTGTATAGACTACTAGTAGGTGTCAGCACCGCACTTATGTTTTTCTTATTTGTTTAGCTTATTTCCCTTACATCTATCATTGATGCATTCTCTATTAATTGCCACTCCTTGATTCTTTGCATACACCTCAACAAAGTGAAAATCAATGATTGCTTCCATGCTTTTAACAATTCAACGAACGACGACTTTAAGATTATAACTTTTTAAGCTCACGAGATTGCTATTGATATATGCTTATGTTATCTATTGTTATCTACTTCTGCTTCTATTGGCTATTTTTATTTGCATTTGTTGTCTTCATGATTGTTTTTGCTTCTATTGCTATTGTAATTTGCAAGCCTTATGGTGTTTTCTACTTGGGTCACAACAAGATCATCTTTTCTCCTACATTCCCTCTAATCCTTATATTCCTTCTTGCCTGAAAAACCTTAATCTCATCATTCTTCCCCACTGACTTTCATGATTACTTATTTCGCATGAGTTCTAATTTTGTATCAAAATAATGTCAATTTCTTGTTAATCACTAAAGAAATTCCCATCTTTTGAAGCAATTATCAACCATAGTAGATGGTCCAACTCATACCTATATTTTGGATTTATTGAAGACTCTTTTTTTGTATACACCCCGTGCCTATTCTTATGGTCAAGATAAGACTTCATTATTTCAACTAGTCAGTTCCTCACTCTTAGGGTGAGCAATGTAATGAGGGTTCTTCTTCTTTTCATGTAATAGGCCATATATAGCTGAATGAAAATAGAGAAAACAAGTTGTCTACTTCATACACTTCATCTCAAGAGTGTATGTGTGTGTGTTCAATTTCTATTATACTCCCTATTTTCTTAATTCTAGACGAAATTTGTAACAAAATCCATGCTCCATAAACTTCGATTTTGGCAAAACTGTAATTGATGGTGCGTATGTGTACAGCATGAGTATGAAACTGAAGAAACCTACCATCGTGAAATGTATTCAAAGAGATCGTCGGTGCCAAAGCACCCGATACTAATATCGATCAATTCCCAACAGCTTCGAAGTACTGCCTGCCTAGCCAGATTATCGATATCGTGATCCACATCCCAAGCATCAAATTCAAAGGACTGGTGCAGATCGATTACCTTCCACATTGGAGGATCCTTGCAAATCTTCCGCCATGTTGTGCATACTTTCTGTGCGCTGATGAGTATTTCTACAGCGCCTAATCTTTGAAGTATCATTCTGATGATTTCATGACGCATTTACAGCCAATTTGGTGTAACACCCCCAAATACCACATTTGCATATAACACAAATTTCATTACATATAAACATAGTTTAAATCACAAGGTCCCACTAGTACAAGGATTCTTATATGTACAAAATCTACATATGAAAAATTTCAAAACAAATCCTGTACTAACACATGTAATACAACATGTATCTTCAAAATAAGCAATCTTACATAGATCTTCAAAAGCATATAACAGGTTAGGAAAATAGTCACGTTTCCCCTTTCCCCTTATTATCCCTGGACCCCGCCATTCCTGCATTGCATAATTTTAAAACAGAAAATGAGGGTTACATCAAAAGGGTCTAGTGAGTGAATTCCTTCTTTGCAAATGCAGGGTGATAAACACCAAAATATAATAAAATATCTTTGCTCAGGAATATTTACAATACAATCAAATAAAGTAGTCCTCAATGACATGTATAGAATAAACTCAAGAATCTCAGTCCTATTACAAAATATATCTGCTTAAAGATCCAATGTTCCCAATATGAAACAAATATTGTAACCAAAGCTTCTTTGAATCATCAAATTTAAAAGACCAGAATTCCTCTGAAAATTTAAGGCAATAGTTGCCCTTTATGACAAACCATTTCCCCTTCTCAATAACGTCTAAATTATTATTTCTAATAGGAATAATATCTCTAATTCATCAGGTCACAAAGAAATGACGACTCAAAGCTATTAAATCCAATTAGTAATAATAATAAGAGTTATAATAATATCCACATATGACAATGCCTCCCTTATTCCAAGTACACATCTCCTTGATATGTCACCCTTATTCCTCCACCAAAACAGGGCTACTTATTAGAATAGACAAAGGTCACCACGTCTAAAAGTACCCATTCCCAGTTCCAAGCCAGAACAGACAAAAGTCACCACGTCTAGGGGAACTACCTCTTAAAAACAAGTTTCATATCAAAACAAACTTATGTCACCACGCTTCGTGTTAACAGTTTACAAAAATCCAATTCCATACCAAAACAGACTTACGTCACCACGCTTGGTAGGAATGTTTTCCAAAATATAGTTTCATACCAAAACAGACTTACATCACCACTCTTGGTAGAAACAGTTTCCCAAATCCAGTTTCATACCAAAATAGACTTACGTCACCACGTTTGGTTAGAACATATCTTTTTTATTAAAAAGATATAAAATACCCTTTTTATAAATCCACAATTAAACTCAATAATAGACATTTTTAAATTATATAAATGTCTAATGTATTTAACATTTGAAAATTATCAAATATAAGTCACCCGAATAAGTTATCCGGATATACAATCCGGACAACACTGTCCCTCTTGTCCGATATACTAATCCGGACAACACTTGATCGATTTAAGACTAAATCGCATGACTCATGTCCAGTTTAAGGCAATCCGGACAACACATGATCGATTTAAAACTAAACGACATGACTCGTCCGGTTTAAGGCAATCCGGACAACACATGATTGATTTAACACTAAACCGCTCAATACGTGATCGGTTTATGATTAATCCACACGACCCTTAGGCGATTGAAGGCTAAACCGCACAATGCTTGGTCGTATTCATACTTCTCCGTTCAAAACCTTTGTCCAATTTATATATTTTAAGATTCTACCAACTCATTAAATCGCACGACTCTTAAGCGATTTATAACTAAATCAGACAACTCCTATCCGGTTTAAGAGTAATCCGAACAACACTATGACCAGTTTAGAAACAATCCGATCACCTCTAAATTGCACAAACATATTTAATAGATAGTAGGCAGTTCTTTCTAAAACAATCAACCAAAGTTTAAAAGAGACTTTTAAAAAAAATACTCACCTTTATGAAAAACTCAGATTTTTGAAGAAGATGAAAAACCAATTTGATTTCAAACTTTTCTCCGGACAATTCTTCACTGGTTCTCCCAAAATTCTTAAATGAAGCAAGAAGCTTACTAAGAACTCAGAACCCTCTATTTATACTTTCCAAAAATGGAAAGTCGGTTACTTCCCTTCCCAACATGTATACATGTATATTATTTCACACATGCACATACCCACATAATTTGTTATTTGTTATTATGGGTATGATATTTCATTCCAACACGTCATGTATAGTCGCAACAAATTTTCACCACAAAGATAAGCAAAATAATCAGTTTTTTAAAGTATAATTTACAATGTATTCCCTCCATTACAATTACAATTATTATCATATTGGTTGGAATATTATGTATTTACTCATTGATAATTTTACAAAAAGATGTTCCCTAATGATCAAAGTAATTATTTAATGATGAATCACAAGCTTCACAACAATTACAATTATGTATTTACTCATATGGTGTTATAATGCTCAAGCTTCTAACCACCTGTGGCTTTCGAAAACAAATTAACAAGTGGATAAAGTATTAAATGAAGTGCTAATGTAATTTGTTTGTTAAAATAAAAAAAAAACTGGAAGCATCAGGTGGTGTTTTGGGACACCACTTCACTTAGACATGGGCCAAGAATAGACGGTAAAGGCTGATGGCCCATCTGGATTCCATCATATTACTTGGGCTTCCATCTAAAACATCTTCCATACTTTAGTCCAAGAGAGATCGGGTAAAATTTGGGCTAATAGCTCGGTCACCACCTTCAAAACCAGCAGGAGGCTGGTCCACTTGTGATTGGGCCGAAATACTATGAAGCATCACAGCAGTAGCAGGCTCGAGATTAAACGTTGGGGTAGAGGTAATGCCACCTAATCCACCATCACGTGGTCAAGGTGGGGAGGCTTTAACCGGTTCCTCATTGTCTCTAAGGAGGTAGGCCATACCCATATCTTCATTACCCTCTAAAATATTGCCACCTAAGCCATTATCACATGGCTTAAAGCTTACACCTTTAAGAGTATTGACCGGACACTCTTTAATCTCGATGGAAAGCATATGGATCCCAAGTGTAATATCCATAGGACAAAGACCCTCTCCCAATCCATCATGAGTCCCTACCAAAATAGAAATTGCCGGTTGTGCTTTATCCTCGAGACCACCAACCAATAAAGTTTGAATATTTCCCTTTCTTTTTCTTTTTCTATGCATACTTTTTTCAGCTTTTCCTGGAAGACATCATGTTGTCCTTTTCCTTTTTCTTAGTGGAAGACACCTTTCTTTCTTTCTTTCCTTTTCTTTTTTCTTTTCCTTTTCCTTTTCCTTAGTGGAAGACATCTAGCTATCCTTTTTCAATTTGTTCTTTGTTAACGATATTCTTTGAAGGAGTAGACACATCACCATATGTGTCTTGCATATAAAGTTGACATATATTTCGAAAGTAATTTAATTTTTATATATTAATTAATTAAAAGAATTTGTAGTGTGATAAAAATGAGTTCAATTATTATAAAAAAAATAAAATAAAAAAAGAAAAAGTGCAAAATAAAAAAATTAAAGAATTAATGATGGAAGCAGCTTGTGACCCAGTTAAACGATGTTATTTGGATTGTAATACAAAAGCTCTTTTGGAATTTCTTCAAGTGGTGGGGACACTGCACAACCTAATCAACAAAATTTACTAAATATAAAACAATTATTATTATTATTTAATATTATTTAATTTATAATAAATAATCCTGATTTTCTTATTCAAACTTAACTCTTTTCTTTTTCTAAATTAAAACTCATATTAATAGATTGGTAATTGGTATATTTATGGTAATAACATTAAGTAGAAACCGAAAAGTGAAATCGGATGTCGATCATGGGGTTTCAAACGATATGTGGTCGTATTCAGGTCGAGATTTTATTTCTTCGTTGATTTGTTAATTCAATTCGTTAAAACAAATCAACAAACTTTATAAAGTTACCGGTTCCGGTTGCTTATATTTTCAATTACCATCAATTATTAACTTTAAAACTCAATTAAACATGAATATAATAAATAAGGTTTATTATCATAAATAACTACATGGGATTTTTTCTCTTCATAAAATAGTGAAGAAAATACAAATAAACCGTAAAGACATAAAAAACAAGTCAAAGTCATAGCTTAATGTACAGTAAGGAACAACGTCTTGCAGAATTGAATTACGTTTTCTTTTCTTAGCTATTTTGTAAAAAAATGGGTTTTGAAGTGGTTAAAAAAATAAGCCATATGGGTTATTTAGGATAATTGCACAAAGAAAAAGATGGTGATGTCCCTACCATCAACATGGGAGAAGATGACTTGCATGTTCTTGAGTGACCCAGATAACATTTGAAGATCTTCATCTTTTTCCTTCATATGAAACCCAGCAAGACTCGAACCATGAGGATTAACAGCCTGATTTTTGCATAACTCAGCTTGGAGACCAAGACCCACTTCACCTTTAACGACAGCAAGTTGGTGATTTTCTCCATCCTTTTCTCCATTAAACTCACTACCTGCACAAAACCCATTAGTTTCAACAGAAAAATGAATAGAAATATCACTTACCTCCAAAGAAATATCTCCATTACGAGAATAGCAAGCTGAAGGTGGAGAAGAACGACTCTTAAGACGAAACTCCACTCCATTCCTCAAGACGAAACTCCACTCCATTCCTCATGAGCAAATCTAAAATCAAAAAAAATTATAGAAATGCTAGATCTGGAGGAGCAGATCATTTAGTGAAGAACAAGAAAAACTTATTGAACAAAATCTGTTCTATAAAATCAAAAAAGTTATAGAACAAGACCTTCAAGTGAGGTGAATGAAGAACGAATAAGAAAAAAAACTTACRGATCTTGGATCTGGCTTCGAAAGCTTTGAACGGAACATTATTTCTGCTTGGTGGATGTAAAAAAACGATTTGTGATGAACGGATATGTCTGGTGGCGACGACTGGATGCTAGATGGTTCTCCTCGTTTGTTTCACGATCCAGACTTGGGTCTCTCTGTTAAGAAGGAAGGGTTTCATGATGAAGAAAGGTGGGAGCTGAAAATAGGGTATGGGGAGTTTTTTTTGGAAGAAAGAAAGTCTGAAGCAT